AACAAGGGGCCGTTATGCATGAGCATGCGCGCAACCGCTGCGTTATAACGACCATGGGCTCTAGAATACGGGTAGAATAACATTGTAGTCAGCTGCGGAAGCTTGGATTCTGAACATAATTGAAGTTTTTACTTATCTTCCACATTTTTCCAAACAAAACCAAGTAGATATATTTACAATGCACACGAATATCTTTCAAACATTATATAAATTACTGTGAGTCACGGGCTAGACTTATAACACGAAGCCACTTTGTACCGTTAAAATGTAGTGAATTATTTGTGCACACTTTTAGCAATAATAAATTCCTAAGATGTGAATCGATTGCACTGCAATAGTTTATTTCATAACTTATAATGATACAGCTATAGAACTACACATAGATATTTATGATAACTTGATTCAAACAAGCTCAACTCTTCAGCCAAAAGAGAGCTAAATCTGTCGTGAGTGCTCAACAGCACGTAAGAATTTGCAGAATTAACACCGTTCCACATTTTTCATAGACAAGAAAACATTATCAAACCATTTGCAAAGCATAAGTCTTGATATTGGTAGCCTTATTCTAATGAGTCCTGGTGGTATATAAAAGGAAAGTAGTATTTCATGTAACAGTTAATAATATTTAAGYGWAAATATTGYACACTTCAAGAAACTGTCTTTCGAACATTTCGAGGTCGATGTTACTAAACGATGCCTAATTATATTACTACATGAGTACATTTACCATTTACTTCATAACCTGCGTTGAATCTTGACCATCACTCAGCAAAAACTGGAATAGTAGTTGCGTATATAAACCACTGAAGCCTCCATATTGTAAACACAAAGTCATTAATATCAACACTATTTATGGGTGTTCTTGAGTCATGACAGAACATTTCAGGGTCAAAAACAGCCAAAAACATTTTTGGAAATTGTCCTTCGTGTCGTTGTATAAATTTCTCGCTTGAAGTGAATCACTAATGAATTTCAATGAATTTTCAACAGACTGGCGCATGCGCACGCCAAACGGCCCCTTGTTATCATTCATTAGTTCATACACTTTTCACAAAAATAGTCCGAATATAATTTCTTCTGCTTAGTTATATTGTGTAGATCTATTCGTCTGCAGAAAGGTATCTTTTAAAATTCTTTGAGAGCAGTCGGTAGCATTGAMCCACCTTGGCATCCAATAATAAGGAAGTAAATTTCCGTGACCTGGGAAGAACTCCTCGAAGATCTGACGGTAGTAAAACGGCTTATTTAGTTTTGGGAGTGTTGAAAGGGTAGAGAGCCGGAGAGTTGGCAAAGGCTTCATCAGGTATCTTACTTGAGGCATAGCTCTGTATAATTTCCAACCATGATTTTCCCAGTTCATTGCTTCCTARACCATCACTGAACCCCTCTTTAGGTCTCCACAAAATGTCTTCCGGGAGAAGATCTAAGCCACCAAAAGCTTGACGAATATCCAGAGGGATTAATAGCCTGATTTCAAAGAAAATGCGAAAGGCATCTGGTGGTGTTAAAATGACGCCATCATGTAAAAGTTTTTGGGATSAGTTTCTAGAGAAAACAAAACAAAATCGGCCATGTTCTGTCACAAACATATCCTACAATGCATTGCATATACGGTACATGACGTAAAAGCTTCAGAGGTCTATTCGAAGTATTCAAACAGTTTCCATGCATACTGCGRAAACGAAATATACGACCCCCGATCGGGAAATACTGCATTGATCGAATRGTTTCAGCAATTTCGGATTCGCGGACTTTCAAAATGAGCTAGCTTCTTTTGRACGGAATTTCATTTTCATAATAATGTTTGCATTGTAAAAACTCATCGGCCATTGCCACAGGTATCCCATAAGCAACAATTCAAACCAAAACGTTGAATTAGCACATTATTTAATGAATTTCAMGTGTAGTTAGTACTAACTATGGTAGACTTTAATATATTGGTATCGATCTTAATAAAAGATCTTATTCAAGTCTATATATCTGTAAACTTCTTTTTCTTGTGTCTACAGTTATTGAAACAACTTCCCACGATGATGTCGGCGCGTAGGGTACGTTTAAATGTTTGCGAGGTCCTTTGGCCTATCGTTACTTTTACCTCCAACGCGTCAGAAAACTACTGCCCCTCACTGAGCCCGCTCATAGCCCTAAATACCGGGGAACCCCGCCCACAATTCCCAGGAGACGGGAACACAGGGAACCCACACACTCTACATATCTCATTCGGAATCGTTTCTCACACGCTTAAACCAGCTCCGTTGGCATCGTGGATTTACTCGCAGCTAGGATTAAACGAGAGTACAATTGAGTAAAACATCGACTTTCTGCATTGCGGAACTACAGGGGAAACWTGGCGGGTTAAAACAACTTGATTTGAAAAGCGAAAATGCTATTTTCAATCATTTAATAATCGAATCTCATATACTACTTCTACTTTGAGACTTTTGTCCATGAATAACGTGAAGACGACCTCTAAATGTTCTCACTACAAAACTATGCATGTACCTCCGGGGTTATTTGTTCAAGTGGTTCTTGCTACAGGAAGTCCACACTTCCAGGGTCCTATGTTTAAGGTTCTCGCCACAGGAAGTTCACACTTCCAGGGTCCTGTATCTGAGATCCCCGCGAGAGGACGCTCACACTACCAGCGTTCTAAAGCTATATTTGAGAGTAGTCTGTCGTACGATTTCCATATATGGATTTCAATATGCACGGCTCTGTTGTAGATATAGAAGGCTCTCATGTACCTATAGATGGTTCAATACTTCTACCATATATGCTTGTGGTTATTCATGAATGAGGTCGCATAAATATCGGAAAATTCAGGTTTACCAAAGCGATTCGAGTCATTTTAGGGAAATACAGGATTATGTTATGCAAGGTTCGAACATCAATGCTCGTCCTTAAGAAAAATTCCTTTCAATTGAAGKTTTTTGAAAATTTTCTGAGTTCTTCTTTAAATAACATGAAAGCCTTTGTGCCGTGTACATGTACATGAAGTCGTACAACAGATCTTCTCGAAATATCTGGAGTTCTCGCTAAAGGAAGTCCACACTTCCAGGGTTCTACATTTGAGTTTAATTTCTCGTTACATAAAACCCAAACTTCCAGGGTTCTGTATTACGTTTCCAACACAGGAAGGCCAAACATCCAGGGTTCTGTATTTGAGGTTTCCGACACAGAAGGCCCAAACATCCAGGGTCTGTATTTGAGGATTTCGACATGTGGATTTCACATTTCCAGGGTCCTTTATTTTAAGTCCATACTTCTGTACTTAGAGATTTACATGACTAGACCAGATTGTTGCCAGTCTTTGTTTGTCCATTGGAAACCAACAGAGCAGAAAATAATCAACCGTTGAACATGTCGCTTTTGCTGAAACATTTCACCTACCCAGACTACCATTCCTGGTAAATTGTATGTACAGTGGAATTAACAGTGAGATTGGGTTCATTTGTTATTCTGTTATTCCTCTATGTGTACTTTTTGCTGTCCCTGACAGACGCTAGACATTGTACGGAATTATGGGAGTTTTCACGGTCAGAGTTTTCACGACTGTTTTGACTTGATTAGGTGCCTCGTACTGTATAGCCCTGGTAACATTCATTCTAGAACCAGAAGACAATCTGTAAGTATTTCTTGGTCAAAAACATTACTTGATTATCTCTAGAATTAGCTGTGTTAAATTACCTGTTTTTTCTTTATCTTGTGGCGGTTGCGATGTGCCATCAGGTCTGTCTTCACCTAGATAGGAACCCACAGGACAATCAGAACTAAACTACACTTACATCATGTACTATTTCCAATAGCTAATGTAGCAATCGTTTAAAGAGTTAAAACCACTAACCAAATAAAAAGCGCAATTAAGCGTAGGTTAAACAATAGAAAACAAACAATTATAGGACATAATTCAGGTATTAAATTAGTAAATTCTTTCATGGTTTACTGTTCGCACAGATAATGGGGTAAAGTGGCAGCGTATTAAAAATATCAACAGCTTTAAACAATTGTATATCATGTCATCTAATTGTATTTTGAACGATTGCTTCTTCCCAGACAGTTATTTTAACATAATCTAGAGATTTTATAAAGTTTTTTGGGTAAGTAGTAAAGGAAAGCCGGGAGTGTACTCAACCAGTTCATGTACGCTCTCCTTACTTCCCAGCATGCTCTTTCCTCTAATGGTGCCAGTGTATCATGGTATTAATATCAACAACGAAGGACAAAGTTTCTTTAGAAAGTGAAAAATAGCATCTACTCACTGTTAACACTGTTCGATGGTGTCCACTGAAGGTTGTGACGTAACAAACAGCCAGTTGTTATACCATTCGTACATGAATCATGTGATACTAAAGTCTCTTGTAAATCACTTGACATATTACCCATCTCATTCGGTAGTGCAGTGCGTGATTCATTTAATGTTCCATTCTGCAATACTTCATTGCCCTGTAGCTGTGACATACTTGTAACACAATCGTCGAATCTACTTTGTGTGAYATTAGGTAATGYAATACTTTGTGTGATATCACTAGGTAACCCAATATTTTGTGTCACGCCTGTGGCTAACAAAGTTTGTGACATGTTATCTGATCTTCCTGGTAAAGATGATAGGTTGTTTTGTGTGGGTTCTTGCTGATTATTGGATAGTTGGTTGTTTTGTTGGCTATGTTCTTGTTGGTTAATGGATGGTTGGTTATTTTGTTGGTTGGGTGGTGGGTTGTCAGTCAGTAGGTTAATAGGATCTTCCAGGAGATCATCTTCAGGTTCTRGTTGGTTTGCTTGGTTCAGAATGGCTGGAAGCTCATAGTGATGGAAGAAAAATAACATYGAATGCTGAAACCAGAAACAAAATTATACTTGTGAAAAAATGAGGGAAAAATTATAAAGTAAGAAATGTGACTTAGAGAAACCAAACAGTGCTTTCTTCCCATATGAAAATCAAGTTTTAGTCTTAAAATGACGGTTGATCCTGGAGCCATAAGGGGAAAGGAAGAGGAAAAACAAGGAAGTCATGACTTATACTGACTCACCTGAATAAACAACCATGATGTAACCAAAGCAAGTCCACTGTACTGTCCATTGAACCGGTAGTGGTATGCATAGAATGAGAAATGGTACAAGTAGAAAAACCTACAACAAATACATTCTCAGTGCATTACAATAGAAGACATGTAAGGTTCTAGAACATATCAGTACAAACCTCAGCCAGAATTTCTTGCTTTGTTCAGTGTGACAGCATATGGCATCATACTGGTCAGCTGTCCACACTATCAAGATGATGTAGAAGCTCGTAGTTGTATCATTGAAAAACTCGGACATGATGGCTTCCATTCCTGAAAACACATTATATCAAAACAATCTATACATAACACACCATAGATTATCAAGGAATATATGAATAAATGGATGAATAACAGGATATTTCCACAATAAAGTAGCTGTCAAATGTAACAAGTTTTCTTTTCTTTTATCTTATTGTCCTCGCCTCGAATAGTCCCAGACTAAGTGCAAAGGCTGATTTACCAGTCCGGTCATTGTATTTAGAGTCATCTTAATTATATTGTTGTTGT